CCCCCCCCCCCGGTGCCGTTCCCGCCTCTCCCGGTGCCGCCGGTCCCTCCCCGGTGTGGAGGCCGCGCCCCCGAGCCCCCCGGGCGCGCGTGGAGGGGCCGCGGGGCCGCTGCGGGCAGCGGGACACGCACCGAGCACAAGGAGCCGCTCCGAGCCCCGCACCCGCCGGCGGCACCGGCACCCAAGGGTGGCTCCGGCACCCGCGGAGGGACCCGCTCCGAGTCCCCAGTGCCCACGGGCGGGAGCGGTTCGGAACCCCGCCGGTCCCGGCACCCGCGGGGACGGGGGGTCACGGATGGTGGGGCCGAGGGCGGGGGGGCTCCCGGACACGCAGCTCCAGCCGCGACCCATCGGATTCATTCCCTGCTCCGGGACCGCGGGATGCGGTGGGGGAAACTGAGGCACGGGCGCACGGCGCTTCGTACCGCGAGCCCTGCGCGGCTCTTGCCCGGTTCTGGCGGACAGCGCGTCCCCACCGGAGCGGAGGGGACGGGACCGGCTCTCCCCACGCCTCCCCGCGGGCTGGGGCTGGGGAAGGTTATGGTTGCTTGAGGCTGGAGCAAGGAAACTGAGCACCCTCCCGTGCCTCAGTTTCCCCTCTGCAGCCCAGGTCTGCTGCGCGGGACATCCCACTTGGGGGGTGGGCTTCAGATCCCGCTCTTGCCCGCACCCAGCGCCCCCAGCCCCACAGGGACACCCCGCGTGGGTGCCACCCCCCATTCCCACCCCACGGCCCGGGGGGCACCGGACACTGCGGGATTGGATCCCGCGGGCGCCCCGTTCCCCCCGGCTGCCGAGGGGCCGCGGGGAGGGGGATGCGGGCAGGAAAATTCTGGTTGCCGTTGCCATGGCTTCCCATCAGGATGCGCTTGCATCACGGCCAGCCCGAGGGGCCGGGGCGCGGGGTCCCCACGGGGCTCAGACCGGGGGGCTCCGGGCAGCGCTGCGGCCCGAGCGGGAGCGCGGGGGCGGGCGGGGGGGCTCCGGGCAGCCGGTGACGTCTGCTCCGGCATCGCCGAGGGAGAAGAACGGGCGGCAGAGCGCGGGGCCGGCTCCGGGCAGCTCGGGGTCCCTGCCCGCCATGCGCCCCCCGGGCCGGCCGGGGGGGCCGCCGGGGGCCGGGGGGCTCCGCTGAGCCCCGGCCATGGGGCCGTGCCGGTGGTCGCTGCTCTGGGGCTTGCACGCCGCGCTGGTGCAGCTGGCCGCGCTCGCGGCGGGGCAGAGCCCGCAGGAGAGACCCCCGCGGCCGGCGGGGTGGTCCCCGGCCCCCGCATCCTCGTGGGCGCCCACCGTGGAGCCGGGAGCGCCGGGGGACGGCGAGGGCTCGGCGGCGGCGCTGGCGTTCCTGCGCACGGGCGATGCCGAGCGCCTGGCCCGGGCCAACTGCAGCGGGGCCGTGGCGGCGGCGGCCCCCGGGCCCGGGCCCCCCCCGGCGCTGCGGGCAGCCCTGCGAGCCGCCCCCGAGGCGCTGGCCCACGCCGCCAACTTCCTCAACATGCTCTTCCAGACCAACGACATCCGCGAGGCCAGCGTGGCCGAGGACGTGGAGTGGTACCAGGCGCTGGTGCGCAGCCTGGCCGAGGGGCACCCCTGGGTGCGCAGGGCCGTGCTGGCCCTCGACGCCCACCCGCTGGCCCCCAAGCCCCGGCTGATGCTGCAGGCCACCAAGGGGGACGGGCAGATCCTGCTGCAGGACGTGTCCGGCGCCGCTCCCAGCCTGGGCAACCTCAGCTGGGACAACGAGTGGTTCAACGCGCTCAAGTCGCAGCGGCTCCCGGCGCTGCGCAAGCGGGTGCTCAGCAACGACCTGCGCAGCCTGGAGACCCCCAAGTGGCAGCGGGGGGACAGCTACGTGGGGGACCCGGGCCACGTGCGCTGGTCCCCGCCGTTCCTGGAGTGCCGCGAGGGTCGCTTCCTGCCCACCTGGGCGGTCACGCTCTCCTCAGCCTTCTACGGGCTCAAGCCCGACCTCAGCCCCGAGTTCAAGTAAGTGGAGCCCGGAGGGGTTTGGGGGGCTGTCAGAACGGGTGGGAGGTTGCAGCTGGATGTGTCACCCACCCCGGGGTGTCCCCAGCGCCCTGCCCGTGTCCCTCTGCGTGTGCCTGCAGGTGCTCAGGTGTTTTTACACATCCTCAGGCACGGGGGTGACCCCCTGTCCCCTCACTGTGCTGCCCACCTTGCGCTGCCACCCCCTGTCACTGCTGCCCTGGGGGTGGGTGAGCCGGGCCGGGACCCCTCCCGGGACTGGGGGGTCCCTGCTGCACCCCTCTGCACGGGGAGCCGCAGAGGGAGGGCTGGGGAGGGAAGGGTCAGCTGGGATCGGCCCCAGAGCGGTGGCACGGGGTGGGCACAGGGGCGCCCCACGCCACCCCCTGGGCTGACCCCCTCCCTGGCCGCAGGGGGGTCGTGCGGGTGGACGTGGAGCTGCGGGAGGCGGCCATCGACCAGTGCTCCAGCGGGCCGGGCTGGTTCTCGGACACGCATCGCTGTGACCTCAACAGCACCCAGGTACAGCGCCCTGGCACCCCGCCAGGACCGGGGCACCCCCGCAGCCCATCCCCTCCCCCGCCAGGACCGGGGCACCCCGCACCCAGCCACCCCCGCAGCCCCGGCCGGGCTGCCCGTGCCCCGCGTCCCTCCCTCCGGGCTGAGCTTTATCCTCTCCCGGGCGATCCATCTGCTTCGCTCAGCTGCTCTCGCACCGCCGTGAGAGGTTTATTGTGCAAATCTTCCCTCCCCACCGCCAGCCGCGCCGTGTGACCCGGCTGCTGCTGCCCGGGCCCCGCGGGGACGGTGGGGACGGGGCCTGGCAGCCGCTGGCAGCACCACGGCGGTGCCCCCAGCAGCGCCCACCCCGGCGAGACAGCGGTGCCCGAGCGTCCCGGGGCTTGGCACCACCGGCAGCACCCCCAGGCAGGGCGAGCCCCCCAGCCCCCCGGCCTCGGGGTCCTTCCAGAGCTGTCCCCAAGCGGGAAAGGCGTCGCCAGCTCCTGTTTCCTACCAGCGATGCCTTCCAGAGGGCCGGGCTCCGCGCCGGGCATCGCTCCAGAAAACAACAATGCCCGGCCGGGGGGATTAGGGAGCAGGGCCGGGCCGAGGCTGCCGTCACGGCTGGGCAGGATTAGGGCGCTCGGCTGCATTAGGTGTCCATTTAGGTTTTAGGGAGGGATTTGGGGCCAAGCTTTGGGTTTTAATTCTGAAATGTTTAACCACTGATTTCTCACGGCTCTGGGGGAGGTCAGGTGCCCGTGAGCTGGGGGCTGCTGGAGCCGCCTGGGGCAGGGGCGTTTGGGGACAGAGGGGACACAGGGGGTGGGGGACGTGTCTCAGGCTGTCTCCTTCAGTGTGTCCCCCAGGAGAGCCGCGGCTTCGTCCTCGGGAGGTACCTGTGCAGGTGCAAGCCGGGTTTTTACGGGGCCGGCGGAGTGGCCAGCGGCGCCTGGGCAGGTGGGTGCCACCAGGCCCCGGGGTCCCTGCTGTCCCCAGCAGGATACAGCAGTGGGGGCAGGGCTGGGGGGCTTTGGGGACGCAGAACACGTGCCCTGGTGTGGGGGTGCCACCAGGCCCTGGGATGCGCTGGTCCCCCCCAATGCCGTGATCCTCCCAGCCACTGCTCTGTCCCCAGGTGTGGCAGGGACGGAGGGGGGGTCCCGGCTGGGGTGCCGGCCGTGCCCCCCCGGCTGTGCCACCTGCGAGGACGACACGCCCTGCCTGACCCAGGAGGACCCGGCGCTGCGGGCAGCGGTGCTGTCGTGCCAGGCCTGCTGCATGCTGGCCATCTTCCTCAGCATGCTCGTGTCCTACCACTTCCGACGGAGCAAGGCAAGCTGTCCCCGTGTCCCCCCGCTCCACTGTCACCCCAAACCCTGCAGGCTCAGGGATCCCCCTGCCCTGGCCCTGGCCCCTCACCCAGCACCCTCGCGCTGGTATCCCTGCAGAGGATCCGGACGTCAGGGATCGTCCTGCTGGAGACCATCCTCTTCGGGTCCCTCCTCCTCTACTTCCCTGTGAGTAGCCAGCTGTCCCCAGGGCTGGAAAGCCCCAGGATGGGTTTTCCAGGATGCAGCTGCCCCAAGCAGGGCACGGCTCCACCTAATTGTTAATTTTGCTGGCACGGTCGCTGGGGGCTGCCGTATAAACCTTCTCAGAAAATCAAATCCCTTTTCTCCCGCTGCCTGTGGGGATTAATCGCTGCCCAAATCCCCTCTCCCCTCCCGCAGCAGTGCAGCGGGTGCTGCAGGGTCACGGGGGAGGGTGGCACAGTGCTGGCATGAAAAGCAGGTGGCTCCCGAGGCTGGGCAGGCAGGATCCAGCCCGGATCCCTCTCGCCCTCTCGCCAGGTGTTCATCCTGTACTTCAAGCCGAGCATCTTCCGCTGCATCGTCCTGCGCTGGGTGCGGATGCTCGGCTTCGCCATCGTCTACGGCACCATCACCCTCAAGCTCTACAGGTAGCTGGGGGCCCAGGACCCCCACAGCAGAAAGGGTTTGGGTCTAAGGACCCCCAGAGTGGGGAGGGCTTGGGACCCCCACAATGGGATGGGCTGGGGTCTCAGTGGGATGGGTGGGGGTCTCACTGGGCTGGGTAGGGGTCTCAGTGGGACGGGCAGGGGCCCAGTGGGATGGGTGGGAGTCTCACTGGGACGGGCAGGGGTCTCACTGGGATGGGTTGGGGTCTCACTGGGATGGGTTGGGGTCTCACTGGGACGGGCAGGGGTCTCACTGGGATGGGCAGGGGTCTCCCTGGGACGAGCAGGGGTCTCACTGGGACAGGCACAGGGGGTCTCACTGGGATGGGCACAGGGGGTCTCACTGGGATGGGCAGGGTCCCAGCAGGACAGGCAGGGGTCTCAGTGGGACAGGCAGGGGGGGTCCCAGCAGGACGGGCAGGGGTCTCACCCTGGGCGGGGGTCTCCCTGGGACAGTGTTCCTGTCGCGCACGGCGCAGCGCGCTCCCTACGTGTCGAGCGGGCGGGTGCTGCGGCTGCTGGCGCCCATCCTGCTGCCCGTGCTCTGGTTCCTGGCGGCCTGGACCGTCGGCACGCTGGAGAACATCCGCAGGGACATCCCGCTGGTCGTCCGCGCCCAGACCAGCCGCGGCCTGCGCTTCTCCATCTGCGGCCACGACTGCTGGGATTACATGATGGTCATCGGTGAGACCGGCCCCCGGCCCGGCCCGGGGGTCCCCACGGACCCCACCCCAGAAATGTGGGGCTTTCCTTCTCTTATCCGTTTAATCTTCCTTAAGCTGCAAGGATCTGGGAGTCCCCATGGACCCCATCCTATAATGGGGTCTCACTGGGATGGGCGGGGGTCTCACTGGGATGGGTTGGGGTCTCACTGGGATGGGTTGGGGTCTCACTGGGATGGGCGGGGGTCTCACTGGGATGGGTTGGGGTCTCACTGGGATGGGCGGGGGTCTCACTGGGATGGGCGGGGGTCTCACTGGGACAGGCACAGGGGGTCTCACTGGGATGAGCACAGGGGGTCTCACTGGGATGGGCGGGGTCCCAGCAGGACGGGCAGGGGTCTCACTGGGATGGGCAGGGGTCTCACTGGGACAGGCACAGGGGGTCTCACTGGGACGGGCAGGGTCCCAGCAGGACGGGCAGGGGTCTCACCCTGTGCCCCGGCAGGGTGCTGAAGGTGTTCCTGTCGCGCACGGCGCAGCGCGCTCCCTACGTGTCGAGCGGGCGGGTGCTGCGGCTGCTGGCGCCCATCCTGCTGCCCGTGCTCTGGTTCCTGGCGGCCTGGACCGTCGGCACGCTGGAGAACATCCGCAGGGACATCCCGCTGGTCGTCCGCGCCCAGACCAGCCGCGGCCTGCGCTTCTCCATCTGCGGCCACGACTGCTGGGATTACATGATGGTCATCGGTGAGACCGGCCCCCGGCCCGGCCCGGGGGTCCCCACGGACCCCACCCCAGAAATGTGGGGCTTTCCTTCTCTTATCCGTTTAATCTTCCTTAAGCTGCAAGGATCTGGGAGTCCCCATGGACCCCATCCTATAATCTGGGGCTTTCATTCCCTTGTCCCCTTAATCCTCCTGGAGGTTTCAAGGAGGGTTGGGGTCCCCCAGCTGCCTCCCCCCTGAGCATCCCCTGGTGTTGAGTCCCAAACTTTGGGAAGGCCGTGCTGGGGGACGCCCCATTCCCACCTCTGAACATTCGGGGTGAGGGTGCTGGGCAGCAGCTGAGCACCCCAAAAGCTGCTGGGGCTGGGGATGGCTGCTCAGGGCGCGTCCTGCTGTGCCCACAGCCGAGATGCTGTTCCTGCTGTGGGGCAGCTTCCTGTGCTACGCCACACGCGCCGTGCCCTCGGCCTTCCACGAGCCCCGCTACATGGGCATCGCCCTCCACAACGAGCTCATGGTCTCTGCCACCTTCCACGTGGTCAGGTAGGGCCAGGAACCGAGGGTTCCCCCCCCCCGGGGATGCTCAGGAGCCGTCCCAAGGTGGGGAGGGCTTGGGTGCTCTGGATCTCCAAAGGAAAGGGGGCTTGGGTGCTCAGGACCCCCACGATGGGAAGGGTTTGGGTGGCCAGGCAGGGGGGCTGTGGGCTCTGCAGGTGGGGAGGGGCTGTGGTGGGAGCTGGCACTGCCCTCCTGGTCCCTTCCAGGTTCCTGTTTGTCCCCTCGCTGCATCCGGACTGGACTCTGCTGCTCTTCTTCGCTCACACCCACGGCACCGTCACCATGACCCTGGCCCTGCTCTTCATTCCCAAGGTACTCCAGGGAAGGAACGGAGCTGGGCAAGGGGCTGGAGCACCACAAGAGGCTCAGGGAGCTGGAGGGCTCAGTCGGGAGAAGAAGAAGCTCAGAGGGACCTTCTGGCTCTCCACAAGTCCCTGACAGGACCTGGGGAGGGTCAGGTTCTGCCCCCAGGAACAGGAACAGGAGGAAAGGGAATGGCCTCAGGCTGGGCCAGGGGAGGTTTGGGTTGGATATCGGGGAAATTTCTCATGGAGAGGGTGATCGGGCACTGGAACAAGTGGAGTCCCCACCCCTGGAAGTGCTCCAGACCGTGAGGATGTGGCACTGGGGACGTGGGTAAGCGGTGGCTTTGTCAGCACTGGGAGAACAGCTGGACTCGCTGACCTCGGAGAGCTTTTCCATCCTCCACAATTCCAGGATTCCATCGCTAACACTCCCCCCAGGGGCTCGGGGGGCTGGGACAGGGCCCCCCGAGTGACTCCGCCGTGTCCCCGCGCAGTTCCTGCACACGGGCTCGCCGCTGCGGGAGGAGATCACGGCCGAGGTGTACGAGGACGAGCTGGACATGCGGCGCTCGGGCTCCTGCATGAACAGCAGCATCGCGTCCGCCTGGAGCGAGCACAGTCTCGACCCCGATGACATTCGGGTGGGTGGCACACTCAGGACCTTCTTTTGACGCTAGCTGTGCAGAGTAAGAGGTGCCTTTCGCAATCTTTTCCTGACGCAAAGCAGAGGGAGGGGACCAGGGGGTGCAGGGTGACCCCACCCGGGTGGACAAACCCGCTGCGTCCTCTGGGCAGCGCGGGGGGCTTTGGGGACACGGGGACAACGCGGGGCTCTGCGGGGCGGTCCCGGCCGCAGCCCCCGCTGTAGGCGCTCTCCTCTCTCCCTTTTCTCTGCCGCGTCCCCCCCGCCCGCGGCGCAGGAGGAGCTGAAGAAGCTTTACCGACAGCTGGAGGTGCACAAGACGTGGCGGATGGCCACCAACAACCCGCACCTGGCCAAGAAGCGCGGCTCCCGCCGCAGCCTGGCCCGCTCCATCCTGCGCCGCAGCGGTGCCGAGCTGGCCGGGAGCGCGTCCCGCCGCAGCAGCGCCGGGGACCGGGCGGGGACCCCGTCCCGCCGCCGCTCCTCGGCCAAGCGGCTGCTGGATGCCGCCGGGACCGGCCTGAGGACGCGGGACGAAAGCTCCGGGCGCCGCTCCTCGGCGCTGCGCAAGTCCCGCAGCTCCGAGGGGCCCCCGCGAGGGTCGCCCACCCCCAGCCCGCCCGAGGAGCCTCCGCCGGCGGCGGGGACGGACTTGGAGCAATCCGACAGCGACTCGCTGGACGCCGCCCCGCTCCTGTGCAAATCGGCCAGCGCGCAGAACCTGTCGGGGCACTGGCAGCGACCCCCGGGCCGCGCCCCGGCTCTGCAGAAGTCGCACAGCGTTGTCGCCGGGGCGCGGGAAGTGGCGCTGCTGGCCGCCCGCAGGGCCGCCCGCCAGCAGTGGCACGGCAGCCGCCACCTCTCCGCGCCGGCCCCGGGGGTCCCCAGCGACGCCGCGACCCCGCAGAGCCCCGCCGAGAGGCGGCAGGACGCGGCCCCGCCGGGCGATGCCAAGGGGCACAAACATGTCACCTACGCGCCCGTCAAGAGCGTCAGCGCTGACAGCGCCCACCCGGCCAGGAAGGTGCGGGTGACCGTGAAGAAAACCCCCCCTGCGCCCCCCGTCCGCTACCAGAGCCTGCAGCGCTCGGGGACGCTCGGGGACGGCCCGGAGCCACCCCCGGGCCCCCCGGCACAGGCGGGAGAGGCGCAGGGGACAGCAGGGGAGTGCGTGTCCCCCCCGGCAGGGAAGGGCAGGCTGCTGACCCCGAGCGCCACCTCGGCACACGTCTGTCCCTGGGAGCTGGTCCAGGACGAGATCCTGGGCAGGAAACAAAAAGCGGCCGAGGCAGCAGAGTCGGGGACCCCCGGTGACACGGCGGCCACCACCCCCGGCCCCAAGGCGCCCCCCGCGAAGAGTTTCCGGAGCCTGGGACTCGCCATCAAAGCCCTCAACCGCTCCAGGGGGAAGAGCATCCTGAAAGGGAAAAGCGAGGGGAGCCTCAGGCAGAGGGGCAGCAGCAGGAGGGAGAAGCCCGGCCTGGCAGAGGCCTCGGCCGTGTCCCTCGGGGGGGTCAGCCCAGCCCCCGCTGCCAGAGGCCCCGAGGGGAGCGGGCCGAGCCCCGAGACCCCCGCCCTCCAGCACAACAACAACGCCGCCACCCCCGGGGAAGCCGCGGGCTGGGGGGACAGCGGGACAGGAGGACAAGTGGACAGCCCGGCCGCGGGGACGGGCGGTGGGGACAAAGCGGCAGAGGAGCCCAGCGCTGCCCGAGGGGACGCGGGTGCCGGGCTGGAGCCGCCCAGCGCGGGCCACCAAGGAGCGGATCTGGGGGAGGACGTTCCTGGGGTCACAGCGGAGGAAGGGACACCTGAAGAGCCCGAGGGGACCAGCAGGTCCCCCCAGCCCCGGGAGCGCCCCGAGGAGGCGCAGCCGCCTGCAGAGCCCACCCCGAGCAGCGAGCGGGGCGCGGCGCGGGCTGAGCCTTGTCCGCCCGGATGGCTCGGAGCGCCGGCAGGAAGGGCAGCCTTGCTGCGCCAGCAGGCGATCGCTCCCCGGCAGGACGAAGGGAGCCCGGAGAGCCCGGAGAAGGCGCTGGAAGAGGGGAGCAGCCAGCCCGAGCCCGAGCGGGTCCCTGGAAGGAGCTGGAGCGGGGCCGGCAGCGCGCAGGGAGAGCTCGGTCCTGGGGGAACGCGGGGATCCCCCAAATCTGGAGAAGGTGTGGAGCAGCCTGGCATGGGGCTCGCAGGGAAACCCCCAGCTCTGCCCAAACCCTCATCCCAGCGGGCTGGAACCACGGAGAGCAAAAAGGCCAACATCTGCCCCTGGGAGGTGGAGGATGAGCTGCACCCTAAAACAGAGATCTGCCCCTGGGAAGAGGCTGCGGCGCCGTCGGGGAAGGAGAGATCGAGGCAGGACACGCATGGCACTTCCAAAGGGGAAGAAAAAGTGGGATCCAGAGCACCGGAAAAGGGAAAGCAGCCCCCAGCCAAACCCCTGCCCAAATCTCCTTCAGGGAGATCCCAGAGCGGAAGGAGAGCAGAGACCGAGTGTCCATCTGTCCTTGGGAGAGCCTGGACACGGAGCAGCCCCCAGCCAAACCCCACACTGGGAGCTCAGCACTGCCCAGAGCAGCTCCAGGGAAATCCCAGAGCTCAGAGAGGGCAGAGATCTGTCCCTGGGAGACTGAATCCAGTGGCAAAGCTGAAATCTGTCCCTGGGAGTCTCAGAGCTCTAAATCCAGTGACAAAGCTGAAATATGTCCCTGGGAAGTGGCTGCACCTCAGCTGGAGAAGGGAACAGCACCTGGTAAGGAGAAACTCCCAAGAAAAGATGAGACCAAAGCTCTGGAGAAGGGGAGCAAAGAGAGGGAATCCATCTGTCCTTGGGAGAGCCTGGACACGGAGCAGCCCCCAGCCAAACCCCACAGTGGGAGCTCAGCACTGCCCAGAGCAGCTCCAGGGAAATCCCAGAGCTCAGAGAGGGCAGAGATCTGTCCCTGGGAGTCTCAGGACATGGAATCCAGCAGCAAAGCTGAAATCTGTCCTTGGGAAGTGGCTGAACCTCCCTCCCAGCAGCCAAAGGCAAAGCAGGTCCCTGCTGGGGGCTCCAAGTGGGACAAGCGCATCACGCGCCAGGCAGCGCTGGCCAGCCCGGAGAGATCCCTGGAGAGCAGAGAGAGAGTGTCCATCTGTCCTTGGGAGAGCCTGGACACGGAGCAGCCCCCGGCCAAACCCCACACTGGGAGCTCAGCACTGCCCAGAGCAGCTCCAGGGAAATCCCAGAGCTCAGAGAGGGCAGAGATCTGTCCCTGGGAGTCTCAGGGCTCCAAATCCAGTGACAAAGCTGAGATCTGTCCCTGGGAGAGTCAGGGCTCCAAATCCAGTGACAAAGCTGAAATCTGTCCCTGGGAGGTGGCTGAGCCTCAGCTGGAGAAGGAAACAGCCCCAAGTAAGGGTAAACTCCCAGGAAAAGAAGACTCCAAAGCTCTGGAGAAGAGCAGCAGAGACCGAGAGTCCATCTGTCCTTGGGAGAGTCTGGACAGGGAGCAGCCCCCGGCCAAACCCCACACTGGGAGCTCAGCACTGCCCAGAGCAGCTCCAGGGAAATCCCAGAGCTCAGAGAGGGCAGAGATCTGTCCCTGGGAGTCTCAGGGCTCCAAATCCAGTGACAAAGCTGAGATCTGTCCCTGGGAGAGCCAGGACCTTAAATCCAGTGACAAAGCAGAGATCTGTCCCTGGGAGTCTCAGGACATGGAATCCAGCAGCAAAGCAGAGATCTGTCCCTGGGAGGTGGCTGAGCCTCAGCTGGAGAAAGGAACTGGCCCAGGTAAGGAGAAGCTCCCACCAAGAGAAGCCTCCAAAGCTGTGGAGAAGGGGAGCAGAGACCGAGAGTCCGTCTGTCCATGGGAGAGCCTGGACACGGAGGAGCTGTCCCTGCAACCTGCAGTGGGGAAGGAGCCACCCAAGAAACCCGGCAGCACGGAGAGCAGGAAATACGAAATTTGCCCCTGGGAAGCAGCAGAGCCCATTGGGTTGGAGCAGGAACTCTCCCAGCCAGGTGTGCAGCCACAGGGAGCCCAAAGGGGTTCCCCTGCAGGGATGGGACAGCCAGGAGTCAGCGCTGTGTCTCCAACACTTCTGGAGAAGTCCAGGGGCAGATCCCACGGGGAAGCCGAGCACAAGCCCCTGTGCCGGCTCCTGCCCAGCACCCCGCGCCCAGGGGCGGGCAGCAGCTCCAGCCCTGGCCTGGCTGAGGTTTGTCCTTGGGAAGCTGGAGAGGCTCCAGCAGCACCTGCCAAGCCCGGTTTGGACACGAGGAAAAGCTCTGAGGTGTGTCCGTGGGAGGAGGAGAGCACGGAGCCCCCCCGGACCCGCCCCGGGCAGGGCAGAGCCCGGGATGGGAGCGGGGTGTGAGGGGATCCCAGCTCCGGCATCTATCCATGGATCCATCCCTCTGTCCTTTCCCTCCACCCATCCATGGATCCATCCCTCCCTCCATCCCTCCCTGGAGCTGGAGGCTGCTCCCCCCTGCCCAGCTCTGGTGTTGGACTGGGGGGTCTGGGGGTGTGAGGCTGAAGGTCCTGGTTGTGTAATTTTGTGTAAATACAGGAAATAAACGGAATTATCTACGGAGTGTGCTGGGAGAGGCTCTCAGTGAGGTGGGGAAGAGCTGGGATATCCTGAGGGGAGAGAGGAAATCCAGCAGTGGAGGGGTTAAGTGGCAGAGGATGGAGATGGGCTGACTGGAAGGGAAGGTCACTCTCCCAAAAAAGCCACATTCCACCCAAAAAAACCCCTTTTCATTCCGAGACAGGGTGGGGAACCCTGGGCTTGGAGGGAAGGACCTTGAATCCACCCAGGGACACCTCCCGCTGCCCCAGGCTGCTCCAGCCTGGCCCTGGGCACTGCCAGGGACCCAGGGACAGCCCCAGCTGCTCTGGAATCCCATCCCAGCCCCTCAGCACCTCCCCAGGGAGGAATTCCTTCCCAGTATCCCATCTCTCCCTGCCCTCTGGCAGAGGGAGCCCATTCCCTGTGTCCTGTCCCTCCACCCCTCTCTCCATGTTTCCTGTAGCTCCTTCAGGGAATCCTCAGTGAGGTCACCCCAAAAATCCCCTTTTCCAGCCTCATCAATCCCGATCCTCTCCTCCCTCTGGGTTCAGGAATTCCATCCCCTCCTTTCCTGAGCTCCACGGAGGGATCTGAGCTCCCACACTCAGCTCCTGAGCGAGGCAGAGGCTCCACGGAAAAGGGTTTTTTTAGGAACAGAGGGACTGTGCCACCCCTGTGACATCCCAAAGGACATGGCAGGGATTCCACTGCTGGCTCCTCTCCCAGCACAGCACAAAGAGGAGGTCCTGCCCTCCCGAAAGGAACACTGAGGAGCAGAAAGGAGCCACAGCTCCTCTTCTCACAGCTCTGCAAAATCCCTCTCAAGGAAGAAATAAAAAATCCTGGAACTCTCCCACGCTCTGGAAGTGGCTGAGTTAAAAAAGCAGGACAAGAAGGAGAAAAGGGTTTGTTCCTGGGTGAGCAGGGAGGATTTTTCTGTCAGTGAGGAGAACTGGCTGAGCAGAGCAGGAATAGAGAAGGAGCCTCACAGGGGGGAAAAAAGAAGTGTTCTCCCAAGGGAGGCAAAGCAGGGACAGCTGCAAATGTCACCGTGCCCACAGGATGGTGCCAGGCCCTCAGTGACAGCAGCAGCTCTGCCACCAACACCACCCCCAGCCCCTCGTGAGCAGCCAAAACTGAAGTTAAATCCAGTGATTTAACTGAAGATAAATCCAGCTGTGCTGCAGCTCCTCTGGGAAACCCCAACGGCAGCACCCCCTGACCTCACCACAGAGCTCGATTTGAGGCTTTCCTGGTTTCTGTTAAAAAACAGGAGTTTGGGAATCAGCAGAGAAAGAGAGGTGGGAAAAAAAACAGTGCCAACAGCCACTGGTGAAGTTTTAATGCCTGAGCAGCAGCTCTGTGACACCTCCCATGGAGGTGACAAATATTCCAAGGGCTCTCCCATGGAATTCAGGACACAGGGTGGGCTGTGGATGCTCCAGGGCTCCTCATCCTCACAGAAAGCCAGCGAGGGTGAGGCTGCAGCACAGAGTGTGGGACAGAGCCCAGCTCCTCCCAGAGCTCATCCAGGTCCTGCTCCCACCCCTCAGGCTCCTTGAAGGACAAATCTGGAGTGGCTGGAGCCCATTCCTGAAGGCACAACCACGTCCATCACACACGTTCCCAATCCTCCCTCCTGGCCTGTTTGCTGCCCCTGTCCACGTTCCAGAACTTTCTACTTCACTGTTTCTTGCTCCTGTGAGGGATCCGGGGCTGGGCCAGGAATCATCACGGTCTGGAAAAGCAAGGGACAAAAATCAGCAGGAGAAAGGGGAGCAGAGGGTTCTGGAGAGGGAAAAAAGGGGGATCAGATGGAGGCAGGAGAAGGGAATGGGGTGGGAAGCCTTGAATTACACTGGAATTCTCCCCTCCTTCTCCTCCAAGATCTATTTTTAGTAACACAGGAGGCAGAGACACTTACTGAGGTCAGGCACAGAGGGAAATAATTCCCAAAATTATCCCAGACCTGCCCTCAGCCATTCCAGGCCCTCATTCCAGCTCCCAGGTGCTCCAGGGACAATTCCATGGACATTCCAAACAGCTCTGCCCGTGGAGGAACCCCCCACCTTCCCCTCCCAGGCAGCTCAGCTTTGCCCAGAACGATCCCCAGGGATTTGTTCATCCCGGAGCAGGCTCCTGGGTGATCCAAGTGTGACCTCCCAGGAAAATGGGGATTGTTCATCCTAGAGAAGTTTCCTGAGTGACCTAAGTGTGACCTTCCAGGAATGCCTGGGAACATTTGGATTGTTCATCCCGGAGCAGGCTCCTGGGTGATCCAAGTGTGACCTCCCAGGAAAATGGGGATTGTTCATCCTGGAGAAGGTTCCTGGATGATCCAAGTGACCTCCCAGGAGAACGGGGCCTGTCCCCCCCGGAGCAGTATCTGGGTGACCCAGCTGTGACATCCCAGGAATGGCTGGGCACATTTGGACTGTCCCCCCTGGAGCAGGCTCTGGGTGACCCAGCTGTGACCCCCCAGGAATGGCTGGGCACGTTTGGATTGGCCCCCCAGCAGGCTCTGGGTGACCCAGGTGTGACATCCCAGGAATGGCTGGGCACATTTGGACTGTCCCCCCTGGAGCAGGCTCTGGGTGACCCAGCTGTGACCCCCCAGGAATGGCTGGGCACGTTTGGATTGGCCCCCCAGCAGGCTCTGGGTGACCCAGGTGTGACATCCCAGGAATGGCTGGGCACATTTGGACTGTCCCCCCTGGAGCAGGCTCTGGGTGACCCAGCTGTGACCCCCCAGGAATGGCTGGGCACGTTTGGATTGGCCCCCCAGCAGGCTCTGGGTGACCCAGGTGTGACATCCCAGGAATGGCTGGGCACATTTGGACTGTCCCCCCTGGAGCAGGCTCTGGGTGACCCAGCTGTGACCCCCCAGGAATGGCTGGGCACCTTTGGCTCTGTCCCTGCCCCGGCTCACCTGGCGGCTGTGCATCCTCACGGTCACCTGCCCGTAGAGGTTGCCCCGGTTCAGGACGCCCTCGCAGCGCACGTGCACCACCCTGGGGGGCTCCAGGGACTCCACAAAGCTCCAGCGGATGGTTTTGTACCTGTTCCCTCGCACCATGTCCTGCCAGCAGAAACCAGCCTGGCATTAATTAAATTGTTAACGAGCTGTTCGCTCCCGGCAGCGAAAATCAGCTCCCACCCTGGTGGCCCTTGGGGCTGGTTTTGGTTTTGTTTAGGTTGGGATTGAGGGTATTTGAGAGGGAATTTAGGACTAAATGTTCAGGTTTTATTTATGTTTAGGTTTTATTTATGTTTAGGTTTAGATATTTCAGATTTATTTATGTCTAGGTTTAGATATTTAGGTTTTATTTATGTTTAGATGTTTAGGTTTTATTTATGTTTAGGTTTAGATGTTCAGGTTTTATTTATGTTTAGGTTTAGATGTTCAGGTTTTATTTATGTTTAGATATTTCAGCTTTATTGTGTTTAGGTTTAGATGGTTATTATGTTTTATTTACATTTAGGTTTAGATGTTTATTATTATTTATTTTTAGATGTTTATTTATTTTAATGTTTATTTATATTTTAAGTTGTGAGCTTTACAGTATTTTACTAATAAGTTACAAAAAGGTTAACAACTTCTACACAAGGTCTTTTAAATTATTTAACTAAGAAACCATATTTAAATTATTTTTATTTTTAGCTTAATAACTAATTACTCGAAGTCCACAACGCAGACTTTTCTGTCTAATTATAAAATACCACTTAAACTTGTGAAGAACAGTTAGTTACTCTTCTACAACTTATAATTTGCCTTATATACATTGTTATATTTTAAAATCTTAAATGTTAGTTTTTTTACTTAGTGATATTACTTCTAATCAAACTACACATTTGTAATCTTGGTGTTACTAAACAATTCTGGAAGTTTTTTTAATGGCCCTAGGTCAAACACATGATTTTCTTGGGGGTCTGTGCTCTTCAGCACAGAAAGTTTAAAATTTTCAGCACCTAGGATTCTAACAGAACTCAGTCTGGATTAATGTTTATTTATATTTTAAGTTGTGAGCTTTACAGTATTTTACTAATAAGTTACAAAAAGGTTAACAACTTCTACACAAGGTCTTTTAAATTATTTAACTAAGAAACCATATTTAAATTATTTTTATTTTTAGCTTAATAACTAATTACTCGAAGTCCACAACGCAGACTTTTCTGTCTAATTATAAAATACCACTTAAACTTGTGAAGAACAGTTAGTTACTCTTCTACAACTTATAATTTGCCTTATATACATTGTTATATTTTAAAATCTTAAATGTTAGTTTTTTTACTTAGTGATATTACTTCTAATCAAATCATTTGTAATTTTAGTGTTACTAATCAATTCTGAAAGTTTTTTTAATGGCCCTAGGTCAAACACATGATTTTCTTGGGGGTCTGTGCTCTTCAGCACAGAAAGTTTAAAATTTTCAGCACCTAGGATTCTAACAGAACTCAGTCTGGATGTCAATGGGAGCAAGGAGAAAACACCACTGGTTGTTGGTGAATTTTGGGTTTTTCCTCCCAGCTCTTTGCTGAATCCAGGGGAAAAAAAATAAAAAAAAAAGAAAAAAGACACTGCCAGGGGGTCCCTCCCACCCCAAAATTGCAGGCACTTACGGGGTAGCAGCGCTCGGTCACCAGGGAGTGAAGCTTCTGCTTGTTGAAGCTGCAAAGGGAACAGCCCGGCCACCCCAGCTCAGGAAGGGAGCTTCCCCACAACCTCCTGATATCCCCAGATTCCTGATATTCCCACAGATTCCTGATATTCACACAGATTCCTGATATTCCCACAAACTCCT